CACACTATGCGTTTTTACTCCCTATAGCAGCGCCGCAGCGCTGCACAGCAAAAAGGCAAAAAAAAACTAGGACATTTTAAGACGTACTTTAAAAAAATGAATCCAGATTTAAAGAATTTTTGCAAAAACGCGTTAAAGGGGCAAAAGGTAGCGTAAAAACTGCCCACAGAATCAATGCGCACTCAGCAGCAGAAGAGATACACTAAGAAGATTAGAAATGTTAAGATTCGGCAGAAATAAAAATTTAATTATCCACAAAAAACGAAAAGACTTCAAAATATTACTGCAGACTGCAATAAGAGAGACTCGTTTTTTCAAGACACGTTGCAAAAATTCAGCTGGTAACGTTCCTAGCAGGAGGAACTTGTAGCGGTGAATCCAGGTCAATTATACCAACTTCGTACGTTTTTGGAACAAATGTTTTGAAAGGTGGAAGCCTTATAATTTCACCCAGCTCATTATTACAGTAGTGCAGCACTTGTAGATACGGTTCTGGATTGTTCGAAATTCCCGGAATCCAGTCAATATCTTCTCCACATCCATCCAGCTGGAAGGAGCCGTCTTCGTTTGTAAATGTTACTCTAAAATGATATATAAGTTTCTTTCTGGAACAATAGAACTCAGCAAAATGACACTGTTCTGAACACTTCACAACTCAGTAAAATGATACGCTGCTTCCGATTATCAGAAAAAAGGCCGCATCTTCAATCCCTCATCCTAAAATGACCCATAACAGCCCACGGATCGCTGAATAGAAACACAGCAAACATAAACGGAATAGAAACAACACATTCGAAAAGTGCATTTTAATAGCACAGAAAGTTTTCAAACAGCAAAAGCTGTTAGGTAGCCTGGGTAGAAAAGCAGTTACTAGACAAAATTTTAGACAAATTTAAGCTAATGCGAAAAAAGCATGACGTAAACAACAGCGTGAATTCGATTAGTAGCACCCGGTACAGCAGTGACTGACGGATCTCAGAGTTATTTTGGGTTATCGTTTATATTTGTCTGAAAGTTCAACACTATGATCGACCATTTACCACTATCGGGCTCTCGAGTTGCTGAACTGCAGTAACACGCCGAACGCCTGCCAAATCTTTTGTCCAGGATCAGCCACTTACAACCACATACCCCCCACCGGCTCTTTAATGAACCACCAGAATGCCCTGCCAAGGATAAGTAATCGCTAAAACTGACGACACTGAATTTCGAAATACCCCTCTGCTATTTTAAAAGAATTAATAATTACTTTTCTTTCCCAAAATGAGCTATTTCGCAAGATAGCGGAGCCGCAAAGACCATTAGGAGTATTAGCAAAGACAAAAACATTAGTAATATTTGAAGTAAAACAGGGCCAATAAGCAATGTCCGACTGCAAGACACTGTGCATAGGCAAAAAAAAAATTCGAAGTTAAAAACAAGAAAAAAACAAATACATAAAATGAAGCTGCTAGTTTTGGAGCTCTGCATTTTATGGTATTTCATCTGCTCGCAACCTGCTACGAGAGGGAGCGAACTAAGAGGTTTTCGGGTATGGTCTAGTTAGCATAAAATTGTTATTGCTTGTTGAACGATTAGAATCAATGACTAGTGGACCGAAATGATAAGCAAACTAAGTGATGAGCGATTGCCCGCGAAAATGAACGAAGTCCGCACAAAAACACACAGGAAAGCAAAGGAAAAATGTAAAAGTAGTTATTTTTGATGAAATGTTATTTTACGTGAGTTAAAAGAAACCTTAAACAAAGCGTCAAGAGAGCAACTGACCATCACCAATTCTTATAAAGCTGACCCAGTGGTAAATTGCCGTAGCAAACTGGCCTTCTGCTTTTGTCACGTGCGTGGGTGATTTATAACCGCAGTTCCGGCGCACTAAACAATAAACCAAAAAAATCGAAAAAAGTTTTCGTTTTCTTCTGGTCAGTGCAAAGAAAAGCAAAACAAAAAAAAAATCAGTTTGACAATGATTATCACAGATACAGTCACTCATGCCCAATCTTCACACGAATGGCCTTGATCTGTCATTCTGCAAGAAAGATTGTCGAGATCGCCTAGACCCACAGCACAGGACTGCTGATAATACAACAAATGTAGATAATGGTGAAAATATTGCCGCATGCTTCCACGAACAAGTTTTCTAATAACTTACGTACATTTTCTAAAAATGAGATTTTCTGAATCAGGCAACACATGTCATTAAAAAACAGTTATTTTTTTTTGGAATCAATCGAACTGCCCCATTATTCGTCAGGTTCGTTAAGTACATATACACCACCGTCGGAAAGGTAGTTTTACTTATTACGAAATATTACTTTTTTTTCTAATACGGCAACACCCTCATACTCACTCAAGTCACTAAGAAGAATTCAAGAACGAACCCCATCAAGTCATCCGGATCGACAAGTTTCGCGATCGAAAGCCCATCTCGATCATAAACACGTACTTCTACGTTTAGATTTCTGGACGGATCTTTATGGCAACGTACTGCACCATGTACCCAAACACACTTATGCTCAGCCGAAGCGAACGATGCCAACAGCAGCATTGACCAGGCATGTATTTTCAAAGACATTGAAAATCTGAACTTTGTATGAATTTAAATTGCAAGAAATGATTAAAATAGCGCGAAAAAGCAACACTTTCCACAGAAGAGATCTTTATCCTGTTACTCAAGCCAGAGGAAGTAAATTTTTTTTTCACCTTGACGACTTCTCAAACAGGCGAAATAGAGACATGCCTAATTCTAACTTCACTGCAATAAATGGAACACATGCGCTGCTACAGCCAACAAAAACACATATTGTCAAGAGGCTGTCTTTGTGTGTGTGTGTGTGTGTGTGTGTGTGTGCC